CATATGGTGCATTTTTGTGCTGACAACAATCTGATTCTGTCTAGTAGTGAGCTTTTGCCAATCCAGAGCTATACATATATACTGTAAGTGAGGCCTGGCATACAACATCGTGGCTAGACCACTGTATTGCGACAGCTGATGCACACGCTGCTTTGGAGAATATCTACATTTTGTATAATATGTCTATTTCTGACCACATTCCTGTAAAGTTGGCCGTTAGATTTGATTTTATACCTATTTTAATTCAAACTAACCAAAAGCATGAAAGGTTGGATTGGTCTACTCTTTCTGCAGAGGATCTTCCTTGTTACTGTTCTGACACTGATAAACTATTACGTGATATTAATGTACCTAGAGAGGCTGTGATATGTACGGACTTTAACTGTACTGCTTTTAGCCACAAGGCTGATATTTCTTGCATATTTCTTCTAATATTATTTGGGTGCTGATAGAGGCTAGTTTGCCTTATTATGAAAGAAAAGAGGCACGCAAAATTAAACCTGGGTGGAGCACTTATGTGGCTGAATATCAGGTTGGAGCCCGTCATGCAAACAACTTCCTGGGCCCTGGCTGGTAAACCCAGATATGGGCCTATATTTGAACTTAAAAAGCGTACAAGTGCAGAATATAAGTATGCTATAAGATTATTACGAAAAATAAACCAAAGCTGAGGTTTGACTCTATGGCTGAAAATCTCCTAAGGAATAATATGAAGTCATTCTGGAAAGATGTTAAACATATTAACAGCAGTAGACTTTCTCTACCCCATACTATTGATGGAGTTTCTGGCCCGGATAAGATAGTTGAGCTCTGGCGACACCGCTACTGCAATCTATTTAATTGTGTCCCTAGTGAAACTTCCTCTATAGGTAGGGTTGACTTTGTTGATTCTATTAAAACATATGAGGTTTCTCAAACAATACGCAATTTGTCAGCAAATAAGTCTACTTGGATGAACCGCATTTCTGTAGAACATCTTAAGTATGCTAGGTTGAGGTTGGCACCTCTTTTAGCTATTTGCTTTACTTCTTTTGTTATGCATGGGTTTATGCCTGACTCTTTAATGTCAGTGCTGTCAGGTCCGCTCAGCGCGACCTGCCTCTTTCTTTTTTTTTCTCTCCCGCTTTCCCTTTTTGCGGGATGGACGCCTCAGCTGTGTCGCATCAGGTAATTAGTGACTCGTGGTTTGGATCGCACAGCTGAGAGACGTTAGTTCATTAGTCCTTTTCTTATTTAAACCTCTGGCAGACGCACAATTGTCGCCGGAGCATTAATTCAACTCTAAGCAAAGCATCATTTATGTTTCAACCAACTGCTGACTAACTATATTTGTTATAATATACTTATAACCAGGAATTGTTGAGAGGGCAATGAAAATAGGACAGGATGGAAAACAGCTATTAGTCACGTTGTTCCTGTGCGTTGCCAATAGACATACGTGGTGTTCTTTTTGTTTGTGGCTGCTGTACGTATCTGACGGTGATCTTCCCAGCCGTGGGTACCTGACAGCTAGCGCTACACCTGCCATACCTGGAGTTCTTTGTTTTCTGCTACTCATCTGCTCGTCCTGGTCTCCTCAGTCATCTCCACTCTGCCCTTGGTTCAGTATTATTCATTGACTCTTATGTTGTTACTTTGTGTTCTTTATTCTATTAAACCTCCTTTTTTGTACTAGCACCTGGGTCAGCCATCTTGAGTCCAACTCCAGTTCTCCCTCACCCTCCAGGTGAGGGGGAGTCAACCATAACAAGTGCTTTTAGTCCCGGTGGTGAAGAATAAAGCAGGAAAGGTGGGCAGCTCAGATAATTATAGACCCATTGCACTTGCTAACATACTAAAGTTGTTTGAAGAAATTCTCGAGTAGGTTTCATAATCTTATTGGCTCTACTGATAATCAATTTGGGTTTAAAGCCAATCATGGCACTGATATGTGTATTTTTGCTTTAAAATAACTAGTCAGTAAATATAAAAGTAAAAATTTGACCATATTTATTTGTTTTTAGATGCTTCTAAAGCTTTTGATCGAGTGAATCATAGGAAGCAATTCCAGAAACTGTGTGACGCTCGAGTGCCTAAATATATTGTAAGATGCTTGTCATATTGGTATGCCCACCAGACTATGTGTGTCAGATGGGGTAATTGTATATCTGCACCCTTTCAGACCTGTAACGGGGTAAGGCAAGGTAGCCTGTTGTCCCCGATTTTGTTTAATTTTTATATGAATGGTCTCTCTGAGGAGCTAAATATGTGTAGAA